AAACTATTTAAGTTTTTGAAATAAAATTTCCATTTTGATATGTTGGTACATATCATTTGAATTGTTCTAGCGAGGCGCCGGCCCGAAAGGCGTCTGCTGGATTTCAAAAGTATTGTGGATGTGGCAGTTTGAAGGGAAATTAGAAAAGTGAAGATTTAATTGACAAGGAAAATAAGAAATAAGAATAATGTACAAGTAACGACGTCAAACAACCTACATACAAGTTATCATGTTAGGTTAGGTAGGAGACTGTTAAAATACAAACAACTGTAAACTTTGTTGTGTCGTTACTGAGAAGTTTGTCAAAATGGCAATTCATTACATACACATCAGTTTGTTGGGAATTAGTAGAAATTCATACAGCGTTTGATTTTGAACTCCTTCAGTTGTTATCAAAATGACAGGTAGAAAACGATAATTTGCGCGATAAAGGCATTGTCACAGATAGAATAGTGACATTTCGTTTTGAATTAGGTCACGTTTTAGTTGATCGAGGTTTTAACCATATTCAAATTTGTGACAGTTCAATTCATTCGATATAAATTGGCCTTTTATGCAGTGACAAGCTGACAGTTGACATTCAACGTGGTTCATTGTTATGCTACAGGTTTTGTTTTTCGATTACGTTTATCAACGATATGTAGCAATCAGTAATTCAATTACAGTTTGTGTTTCATTTTGAATTTTAATATGCATCAATAATGAATTTCAGTAGGCTTATTTTTGTGAAGGATTTTCAGGAACCAGAACGTACGATATGTGTCAGACTTGATTTACAGTTGTTTAGTTTTGATTAGAATCCATTAAATTTTCTGCATTGTGCATTATGAATCTTAATTGGCATCCAGCAAATTCACCCTTTTATCAATCATGAACAAACGGAAATGAAATTCACTTCCTAACATCGGTTTTACTTAGTTTACATCAATAATTTCACCCTTTTATGAATTGTGAACAAACACAAACTAGAAAGAATCTGACGGTTGTCATTGGGTATTACTTTTAACTGACTTCTATGAAATCACCCTTTTACGGATTGTGAATAAAGACAAAGTATAAGGAGTTAGAGGTTTTATTCACAATCAGAAGTCAAATTGAAATCCTTCAATCAGATTTACTGATTTACGGTTGTCATTGCGTAGTACTTTTAAGTGACATCTATGAAATCACCCTTTTACGGATTGTGAATAAAGACAAAGTGTAAGGAGCAGTTAGAAAAGGTTTTATTCACAATCAGAAGTGATATTGAAATCCTTCAATCAGATTTACTGATTTACGGTTGTCATTGAGTAGTACTTTTAATTGACTTCTATGAAATCACCCTTTTACTGATTGTGAATAAAGACAAAGTATAAGGAATTACAATAGGTAAATTCACAATCAGAAGTGATATTGAAATCCTTCAATCAGATTTACTGACTTACAGTTTTCATTGAGTAGTACTTTTAATTGACTTCTATGAAATCACCCTTTTACCGATTGTGAATAAAGACAAAGTTTAAGGAATTACAATAGGTTTTATTCACAATCAGAAGTCAAATTGAAATTTTTAGATTATTTTGAATTTTTAAATTTATTCCAGTTCATATAAATCAGGAGACAAACTCCACTCAGCCTATAATGCACAGCATTCTACTAGTAAGCTACTGTTCCTAATTTTCTTGTCTGTCCTCCAGGCAGCTAACTTTTGGCTCGCATACCTAATGTTAAGCTGGGGCAGCTAACTTTTTTTTTTCCGTGCAAGAACTAAGTTACACTGTGGAATTTTTAATACTCTGGGTTGAATCAAAGTACCCAACCCTCCCCAAAGTGTTGTTGGGCCGAACATTGATGAATTTGAAGTGTGTTTAAAAGGTAAGGCCCCGTATTATTTTAGTTCATGGTCTCTCCTGTAGAATTCAACAAATATTTCACAAAACTGTCTCCTAGGGACCACAAATATTTTAGTATTAAAGTATTCCAACTAAGTAACAGAGAATTTGTGGTTGTGTACAGAAACCAGTGCGACTTAAGTCGCAGTCTGGGCTATACACCTTTCTCGCACTGCCACCATACACCTTTGTATGCATAATATGCCAGACAGCCCCTAAGCCGCTGCCAATCCCCCGGAGCAAGTTGAAAATATCATGTTTTCTAAGCTACGAAAGGGCGTACCCCAATTTTAGTTCAGTGAAGTACCCCACCCCCACCTTCAACTCCTCCTGCGAGCCGGGGACCTTCAACCGCGGCCTGGTCTGGTTGGATCGCTCTAATCATCATCAGAGTTCATACATTTATACCAGGTGCATTACAACAGGTACATTTAGTGAGCAGTGAACTTAAGCAAATGCTATAAAATAAAATATGGGAGTCCACTAGAAAGGCTAGATACTGGGAAGTATAGTTTCTATTAATTAAAATACATGGTTGATTTGTTTTGGCAAACACATCACTGTAACAGTGGCTGGAGAGGGGGGGGGGGGGCTTAAATGTATGCCTTACTTCAGTTCACTTAAAGAATATGTCTGCTACTGTCCGTTCCTATTCCCACTGCTCTCCTCCTACTTAACTTAGCCTTTTCTGTAATGCCATATGATGCATGATGCTCCCATTTAAATGAATTCACTTTACTTGTGAAAGGTTGAAATTCTATTAGGTTGCCTCCGGTTGAAGTAAAATTAAACACCCTAATATTTAATCTAATTTCAAAATACATTGAAACTTCTCTCCAACGACAAGTATAACACAGACGCTCAGCGACAATGCAATAATTATTTTTTGCCCGTTTTTACGCGGTCGTCTGTAGCAAAAACAATTGATTTCACCAAATGCGTTAAATCAAGGCTTAAACAGCAATTTTGGAAATACTACGGGACTTT